CAAAAATAAATACAGGTAAAGAATAATACAAAAGAAGAAAACTGTCGTTTAATTTTAGAAATAATTTAAAAGATAGTGGAAATACCTTGACAAGACCCTCAAAAATTTGATTTGTTTTGTTTTTGTTGTTTATAGTAATTAAATACAAAAGGTCCAGAAAAATCCAAGCTAACATGTCTTTGCCACTGTGTAACTAGGTTTTAGTTTGCCTAAACTAGTAGGTGATGGTCATCAACAGGTCACCAATCTAAGATAGCTCTCACTACAGTAATCAATTAATATTGACTTAATTTGTCCATTTTCCTTCTTGGAGGAATAAAGGAGGAAAATGGTAATTTAAATATTAATTACTCATCTAAAGGGTCCTAGTCTCAAAGAATTAGTCCAGTGACCTATGAAAAAATTAGCCACATGTACCAATCTAGACAGCAATGATAGGTGAAAAATAAACACTGCTTCACAAAAACCATGAAAAATGCAAATTATAACAGACCTAATGAGGAAAAAGTAAACTATCAAAGGTTATGCTTAGGAATAAAGAAATATCAAAAATAGAATAAAGCATGAAACATGAAGGTAAATCAAAATGGAGAAATAACCACCTGGTAGTTGCAAGTAATTGTGATCTCATCTGAAAGGTGGGAAAAATAACCATTTATGCAGAACTGAATATGTTCCAAGCATTGTACCAGGTGATACATATTCCGTTATCTCATAGGTACCTAAACCGTCTATGTGGTATTATCCCCATTTTTCAAAGAAGACACTGAGGCTTAGGAAGATGCCTGTTATGTTAAAACATACACAGGTAGGAGAGACTGAATCCATTCTCTCATTCAGGCACACACAACTAGAAATTTATCATCCAAAAAATTCTAACTTTTCCTGCAGTGGTAATTAACCACTTTTTTCTAATGTGAGTCTTAATTCACTTTTTGTAAAAGTTTTTTCTATTGATACAAATACTTATATATATTTATGGGGTGCATGTGATATTTTGTTACATGCATAGACTGCAAAGGTTAAGTCAGAGTATTTCGGATATCCATCACCTTGAGTATTTATCATTTCAATGTATTGGGAACATTTCAAGTCCTCTCTTCTAGTCATCCTACTCTGATATAGAACACTAGAAATTATTTACTCTATCTAACTATATATTTATACCTATTAATCAACCTCCATTTGTCCCCTCCCAACCTTCCCAGCTTCTAATATCTATCATTGTATTCTCTACCTTCATGACATAAGCTTTTTTAGCTCCCGCATATAAGTGAGAACATGTGACATTTATCTTTCTGTGCCTGGCTTATTTCACTTAGCATAATGACATCCAGTTTCATCCATGTTGCTGAAAATGAAAGGAATTCATTCTTTTTTATGGCTGAATAGTATTCCATTGTGTATATATACCACATTTTCTTTATCCATTCCTCCGCTGATGAACTCTTAGATTGATTCCGTATCTTGGCTATTGTGAATAGTATTGAAATAAACACATGAGTGCAGGTATCCCCTTTGATATACTAATTTCTTTTCCTTTCGATAGATACCCAGTAGTGGGATTGCTGGATCATATGGTAGTTCTATTTGGACTTTCTGGAAAAACCTCCAGACTGTTTTCCACAGTGGCTGTACCAATTTATATTCCCATCAAAAGAGTTTAGGAGTTCCCAATTCTCCACATCCTTGCCAGTATCTGTTACTGTTT